GAAACAGGAACCTAAACAGATCTGATGCCGCCAGAGAAATCTGAGCCAATTCTTCTGCATTAACCCATTTATCTGATTCAATGTTTTATGTTTCATTTACTTGTTCTGTATTTGGTGCAAAGAGCATAAAAAAAAAGATTCCCAAGTCTTCATAAAATCGGACCTCCTCCATCCAGGGATCTTAGAGGCTTCGTTTTACTTCCTGCCGCGGTTCTAGAAGGAAACGCCTTCTGTCCGTTTTGTTCTGAACGTCAGAGCGGATTAACTCTCCTCATCAAACTTGTCACTAGTTTATTTACAGCACTTTGAGCAAAAGTATCCAGGCCCCTGAAGCCCCTAAAGATCTGAGATGTTTTCATTTTATTGGGATTTTCTATAAAAAGAAAACCTGCGTCTGTATTCAGCCTTCAATTTCAGTGATACAGACCAAGAGCTCAAAGGAAGCGATGATAGAAAGGATGAAGGAATAACTGCAGGTGAGCAGCAGGAACAAATATTAGGAGTTTAGAAGGAAGCCATTGTTGAAATAAATAAAAAAAGAGACTTTTGTTTGCATCCTGTAGGGATTCCAGCAAACATGGAAGAATGTTTTCCTGTAAGAAAAATAAAACAGCTTGAAATGAAAGTAATGGATGGAAACGATCACAAAAAAATTAAATAAAAAACACTTTAAATCTGAGGGACTCAGATTATCGTCCATCAAAATTTCAGAAATTTAAAATTAAAGGAAAAAAGGAGGAAATTCATTCTTTAAACAAGTTAAATGATCTAACATTTATAAATTTAAAGAACAAAATAATTTGCACTGAGATTTAAAAACACTAAAACATGAAGATGTAAGCAGAGAAACGATGGAATGATTTAGACGTATTAATGTGGTAGAGCGGCCTAGTCAAAGCCCAAACCTAAATTCAGCTGAGAAGACAGAACTTTGAGCTCATGTTCTATGCTGCTTGTTTCTATGGGTAAAAAAAGTTATTAGAGACGTTTGCTGAGAACATTCAAAACTACAAAAATTTAATTAGTAATTTTGTCTTAAAATAAGGGATTTTTTTCCCTTGATTTGAGCAGATAAGTAAAAAAAAACACCCTCTTCTGCAAACGGTCTAATTATCTTAATTTAAGCGCAAAATATTCTCAGTCCAACTTATTTACCTGCTGAAATAAAAGGCTAAAACGTAAAAATTTAATTTAAATTTCTATTTTTTTGTGCATCATTGTGGAAAATCCCAACAGAATAAATTAAAATTTGTGTTTCTAACATGAGAAACCATAAAAGGCCTTCAGGGCGGCTGGATACTTCTGGAAAGTTCTGTTATCTAATTCATAACTCAATTTCAGATATTTGATTCAGTTAAAAAAGGAAAGAAAGTCGTCGGGATTTATTGCGGGGGGCATAGATGTCTCTCGTTGTGCGTTAGCATCGCAGCGCGTCGAGCCTTTAGCGACTAACAGTAGTTTCCGTGGAGTTAAAGCGGACGGAGTCGACGTTTCCATATCTGTAACACTGATCGTCGTCCCGTAGACCACGTGACCGAGCTGTGCTTCCATCGCCGCCGGTAGGGTGACGCTTTGAGGCGTGCGTGACGGTTAAATACGTTGCCTGCTGTATACATTCTCTCCACTAGGGGGAGACAGTAGCGAGGAGTTTATCTCTTACCGAAGAGATCCTGAAGTCCACAAACACACACAAACACACACTCGTACACAACAGCTGCATAAGAGCAAAAAAATACGTAACAGAAGTGCAGTCAGTTCATCCCAGGATGACCCCCCACCCCCCACCCCTCCCCAGCAGCGAGAAACCACCTTCAACAGGAAATGACACGGTAAAAACCCAACGAAAAAAAAAGGCCCTTCTCAGTCTGTTTGGATCCGTTTAACTGAAACACACAAAAAAAAAGGCCACTCTTCGCCGTCTGAGCCGCGGCGGCGCTCCGATCAGAAGCGGTGGATGCTCGGCTCCGTCTCCCGCTTGCGCAGCTCTTCTCTGTAGCAGTAGGAGCAGTAGTTCCCCGTCTCCGGGTGTCCGTAGTAGTTGCAGCTGGGCGTCCGACAGCGGCTGGACTGCAGGCCGCCCAGGCCGCCGGCGCTGCCCAGGGAGTAGTGTCTGACGGGGGGGAGGCTCCGAGAGTCCAGGTCCCGGAAGCCGTTGGTGTAGTTGGCAGCCAGGGGCTCGGCGCCAGGGTAATCGGGTGGATCGAACTCTAAGGGGTAGGAAGGAGCCAGGCGGGAGGGGCTGAGGGAGGAGGGGCCGTGCGGCGGGAGGTACTGGGGGTGGGGGGGAGCCTGTGCCGCGGGGCAGTGGCGCGGCAGCGTGGCGTAGGAGGGGAGCCCCGGGTAGGAGGCGGCCGGAGATCCGCCGGCGAGCTGCCGCCGTAGGTCCAAGTGGCCGTGCATGTGGAGGTGCTGAGTGAGCGGCGGCGGCGCCGCGGGAGGCTGGTCGATGAAGGACGGCCGCGGGATCGGCACCACGGCGGAGTACAGGGAGGGGCTCAGAGGGGTGGGGTTGAAGGAAGGGGCGGCGCTCTCCGGCGGCTCGTCTTTGGCCTCGTAGGGCCGATAGCTCAGCTCCGCGCCGCCCAGCGCCTCCTTCTTCGGAGGCTGGACGTTGTTGGTCGTTCCTTTCCGCTCGGAGTCACGCCGCTGCTGCTCCTGCTCCGCGTGGAAGCGGTCCTCGGCGTCGGCGAGGTACCGCTGGATCATCTCCTCCTGGTAGGGCTGCCTGTTGCTGGTGGTGAGCAGGCTGGCGAAGACGAACTTCCTCTCGCCTTGCATGGCGGCCCGCAGGATGCCCAGGCTGACCTTCACGTCGGCGCTGTACTTGTAGTGCTCGCTCTCCGTGCTGCTGCCGCCGCTGCTGCTCATGCTGCTCATGGTTCCCAGCAGGCGCTCGCTTCCCGACGAGGGGGATCCTTTCCCAGAATCCTCGGAGGCTTGGGCGGACGGCGAGCTGTCCTTGCTGCCCTTCCTCCCTCTGAACGAACCCTTCTTCTTCTCCCCTCCTTCCTGTTTGCCGCCGGTCGCTGCGGCGTTCTTCCCCGTCATCAGGCCGCCCACGTTTTTCTTCAGCTTGCTGCCCAGGCTCTTTCCAAAACTGCCCAGCTTGTTGGCCACCGTGTCCGCCCTCTTCTTGTCTTTGTCCTTCTCCTTCTTGCTTTTGTCCTTCGTTCCGGCGCCAGCCGATCCGCTGCTGGACGAACTAGAGGAGGAAGACGAGCTGTTTTTGGTCAGAGAGCTGCTGCCGTTGACGGTGGACGCGGTGGTGGTGTCTCCGTTGCCGTTGGAGCTGCTGCTCACCGACTCCTTGTCCGATTCTCCGGAGTCGGGTGGCGTGCGGGCGTCCTCTCCTGCTGAGGCCGTGGGGGATTCGGGCTGGGCCAGAGGCGCCTGCTGCAGGACACAACCAGATAAAACCAGATTCAGCTTGAATTTAATATGTGAAAAAACAACATTAAAGATTTAAGTCCTTTCTTAACGCTGAGTGTTGATGAGATATGACATCACCTTCAGTGCAACAGGTAAACTAATCGCACCACAGTTAACACATTGCTGAGTATCTAACCTGAGTGAAGTTGCCCCCCCCCACCTTCTTAGACCTAATCGGTGTCAAACGTTTGTGCCGCTATCATTTTAAAGATACAAAGAAATGTTTCTAGAGGTCAAAGTTCAACCAGCTTCTTCAAATCAGACGAAATGGGTGTCAGTTAACTCGACTCTATGGAAGAAAAACTGTCTCATTGGAAGCTGCCTTTTTTTTTTTTTAAAACACTGAATTTTAAATGCTGAATTTTTTTAACACCGAATTTTAAACACTGAATTTTTTTAACACCGAATTTTAAACACTGAATTTTTTTAACACTGAATTTTAAACGCTGAATTTTTTAACACCGAATTTTAAACACCGAATTTTTTAACACCGAATTTTAAACACTGAATTTTTTTAACACCGAATTTTAAACACGGAATTTTTTTAACACCGAATTTTAAACACGGAATTTTTTTAACAC